TTTTAACTGCGCATTTTTGTGATCTTACGTAAGAACTATCGAGAGTCCCTCCCACCCTCTTGTAAGAAAAAATAAGACATGGTCGACACCCATCCTAAATCGTCTTACGTAATAAATGAATGGCCCCCATTTCAACCACAGAAGGTTCACCGCTGAACACAGACACGCATCCAGCGCTTTTCCGCAACGACGTCCATTTTACTGAGGACAGGCCTCCGCCGATGATTTGTAAATTGGTCGGTTGGTAGCGGCCTGCATCCAGCGTCATCTATCCACCTTGACGACCCACAATGCGCTTACCGATACATCTCAGGGAGCTTTCAAAGCATCACATGCTACCCAAAAATCTCACGCTATCGATAAATGTACCCAGGGGGAGGGGCAGCTGCCTTCCCTACATAAATTATATTCTACATAGCTACCTTATGTTTCCTCCTCAAATATCTCAACTAACTACTAAATAACTCAACAGTCGATTGCAGCGACTAGGGCGCACATTGATGCGTCATGATTTCTTATATCATTTTTTGTTTGCCTTTTCTAGACAAAAGCTTGGTTGGTCTAGCGGGGACGAGTACGAGCGGCCTATACGAACCGCGCAAAGCAACCACTACTCCACGCCGCCTGCCTCCGCGTGCAAACTAACAGTGTCGTGACTTACATGTGTCATTTTGACCAAACCGATATTAAAAATGGACCAATATTAATGTGTATGTGCATTGGATAATTTTAAATGTTAATCATAATGGTTCCTACTTTATGCCGCCTACGTATGATGAGTTCGGTCGTATTTGAAAAGATAGTTACCATTTACCACTTCAGTAACCTCTAGCTAGCTAGTCTATGTAGATAAATAATTTTAATGTAACTCACTTTTGTATGAGCTTATATCGAAGTAGGACTCGGCTCTATGACCTTTTGCTTGTTAGTCGACTGCTCATTAAAAAGACGTTGTGAAATGGTCCTGCGTTCGAGTCCCACCTGTAAAAGCAGCGAAATCAAAAGTCATGAACAGGATTGTTATCTAGAATTATAATATTATTATTTAGATAAAATTACTCACCAAAATCTGTAATAGGTACTTATAGCCCACTTATAAAACAATACTAAAAGGACCACCGAGAAATTCAAGTAAAGTCGTGATTAATCAATTCAACGATGTTTACGTTGATGATCTCTTACTTCTATGTACTTCAATTCATAAATGAATATGTACTCTACAATTCTTATAAGTTAGTTACCGTATTTGTAGCATCTAATTGTGAATAATTTCTGGGTTTATATTGACAATAAAAAATATTAGAATAGTGTTTCATAAATGTAACAATGCCTATGAGCATGGCTGTGTTGTAAGAAATGAACAATGTATGCGATTACCTTTAATTGTAAACTTTTATATCTAGTTGTTTTAGGAATAAGTGATTAATAATTAAGTATTTTAGCTAGCGTGCGTACGAGACCAAGAAATTAATTAAACCAAGCCCTGACATTATGTTTTTAAAATTAATTAAATTAAATAAATGACTTCCGAAATGAAAGAGTATTTTTTCAAATAGATCATATTATATTATTTTTATATATTTTTACAATGATATAACTTAGTTCTAAATACAAAAATATCCATTATTCATTACTACATTCGTTAACATCACGTGTTGCCTTCAGACCGTCCATTCTTGATTGTGTATTCAGAGCTTTATTTTAGAAAGTGACATGATTCATGCCGACAATATGATTAAAGCCAAGAACACACAAATGCAAGACCATACTCTTGCCCTTACAAGCCATACCGACGACATAGGACGTACTCAATGAGCAAAACAAGACTCCATAGCATAACTCATCTTAACTATACCTGCTTACTCTTTATGATATGGCTAAAATCAACAAGTGGTGTTTTTTAATTTCAGTATCACACTAAATATTTATTTACATAAAAATACCTTATGATTGAAACAAAAACAATAATAATGGAATATATTAAAATACATAATCTTCAAAGATGTTTCATTAATTTCGTGATTTATAATCATTTTTCCAAAATTATCTTGCAAGCAGTTACAAACAAGTAATAGTTGTAGCTCAAATCGAAAACTTGTGCCAAACAACCGTAGCCCAGTAAATTGTTTGATTAAGTTTCACTACGAAACTCTACTTCGTTGCGTGGTCGATTAGTTTACGAATTTTACGATATAGAAAGCTTTATTAATTAATTTCCGAATTTAATTGTAAATCGATTTCCACTAAGTTTCTGGGTGCTCGGTGTCTCAGCATAGGAGATATTGACAAGTGATTTAACAACAACCACTGCATATAGATAGTACCATCCACTGAGACGCGCCCCATCAATCGTCCTAATTATTTATAGTTTATATTTGCATGCCTCCGCTAATGTTTGAGTGTTATCGGTATACGCTAATAATTATCCATACGCACACTACAATAATTTCGCGACCGATGCTCGGATCAAACTCCCCGCACTCCGCGCTTCCCTCAACCAAAATTGGTGGGGCGCGTCTGTGTGGATGGCACTATCTATATTACTCATTTAAATCATTTCACACAATTTTAAAACTGAACGCAACGCAAAATTTGCAATAAAAAGTCTCACATTAATACTGTGAAATATATTTAGGAATGGCAAGACTAAAACATAAAATAAAACATAATGGAGTTACTCTCTCCTGCACTTTATGTACAAAATTATGTAATATCGTTTTATTGCGAGTTAAGATTTTATAGTGTTAAATATTAGCAAATAAATCAAAATAATTTGGAACCCAAGATTATTCTAAATTAAAATGACGCACGACATTAGAGTAACAAAAATAGAGAGAGGCTGGACAGATTTCGAAAATTCTGTATAAGATGTAATGAAACTTTTAAGGTGAGGAGTCTAAAGACGATATTTTATAGATACTGAGGTATATTAAAGCAAATTCAGTCATATTTTCTAAGCTTGTTATGACAACACCGATTAATTCATCAATGTTATAAGATTGAGTTGGTGAGGTGTTTCTTACCTGGCGACTATGAATGTATATCATAGAAAACTGCGAATTCTACTTGTATTATTACATAGAATAATAGGATTAAAATGATAGATATCAAATATCTGCCCACCCACCCACATAGATCAGAGCAAAACTATGCCTACAGTTGATTTTAAAACACAACAACATAATAAATTGCGTTAAAACGTCGACGAATCGTTTAATTTCATCAGTTTAACCCTGCCAATTGAGTGAGGGGTTTTTAATTTTAGATGTCGGCAGTCTACTGGCCGAGCCTACACGCTAACAGACACGATTAACACGAACAATCATACATAACGAGCTTTGGCTGATAATACTAAATGTGTATTACATTAATGATGTCATTACTAGTATTAAAGTTATGTTGATTTTTACAGAATGTCCCAAGTATCATATTGTAGAAATCTAAAGATATTATACCTCTTGTGATACCTTATTCTACCCCATCTAACAAAAGCAAGCTCATAACTGAATGATGCCAGTTGCGATGAAATATTTAAAAATTAAAACTTTATTAAAAATTTTGGAACATGGAGTATTTCCGGCACTAGTTTGTATTTAACTCTGGACTTCTAACAGTTCCAACACAATTTTGGGACACCCTGCTTAAAATGAATAATACATTAACATCTCTTATATATTTTTACATAAGTACACATTGTGAGTTCGCGATCTATAAAATTATAAATAAGCGTTCGAGTATGTAACAACATGGAATAATAATTGAGTTTTTAGGATTAAATATGTTTTATCCATAATATGAATGATACGCACATAAAAATGAAAATAATCATATGGGTAGTGGCGCTAAAATTATGGTACAACAATCATGATTTATTAAAAGCTAGGATGTATAATGTGATGATTTTTTAGTATGTTATTATTTAAAATTTAGAAAAGAACCGAAAATTCAATCAGCCTAAATAATTCAGTCGTAATTAATGTCTTTAACATATTATTAAAACTGGAGTTGATCTTTTAAGAAAGCTACTTTAGAACTTAATTATATTTAAACAATTTGGTTACTATAAGCTGAATATTGTATTGTAAAAATGTAATGCGCAGGAATACCTGAATAAACTGAACATGAAATAACTACCTCCTCTTATTAATAACTTCATAAGGAATCGAGGTTTGTCTACACCCAAAGTTTAGACTTTGAAATAGGGTATTTTAAACTATCTATCCACTTTAACACACTCCCTACAAAAAACAACAAAAGAGCGCTACTCTAATCTTTTTGTTTGAAGAGAAAATAAACTTTATTGGCTGGACGGTGCTTGAAGTCAGAAGCCACAAAACTACGTAGTGTGTGATTGTGAAGCTTATAGCTCGCAGTAGGTTGCAGTTTTAGGGAATGGCAACCCCAAATCAGAAGCTTTTATTTATTTGACAGGAGATCTAGATTTTCTCTGTACATTTAATAGTGCCCTCGATCGGAAGCTGTGGTAAAGTTGGGGGAGGACTTTTTCTAGTAAACATAAGATAAGACAAAAAATCAGATGTGCCCAAGTCTCAATTTACTACGCGAGGGCCAACCATCTAGTTACACCATCATCGTGAGTTTTTTATGCGGAACAAGGCAGGCATTTGACCGCAATCGCACCTGATGTTAAGTGAGATGCAGTCTAGGATGGTACTGTATATCTGCTCTATAAGTGCCTATTCACTCTCGCCTTGAAAAGGCCCGATTAGTTAGTTCCATTCCCACTTGCGATAACCAATAATTTCAAGTTTTAAAAATCAGCTATGAATATGAGTTTGTTCTATGCATGTATGTGTTTCTATGTGGCAGCAAAATAAACGTTTTCTATTCTATTCAAAGTACGGTCGCCGAGCAGGTAGAATTTCGTCCAATGACCCTAAGCTACCTATCCTTATCACTTGCGCGTAATAACTGTAGCGACTGTGCGACGGGCGGCCGCAGTGAGTGTGCGAGCGCGACAACAATATAATTATGCGCGAGCGATAAGGACGGGTAACTCGGGGTCATTGGACGAAATTCTACGTGCTCGGCGACCGGACATTATACAGGGTGTTTGGCGGAAGGTTAGACTAACTTCGTGAGTGTATAGGTAAGGTGATTTTGAGAATACAAGTTCGCCCATTTGACCTTACCTATACACCCACGCCTGTCGCGCTCGCACACTCACTGCGGCCGCCCGTCGCACAGTCGCGACAGTTATTACGCGCGAGCGATAAGGATGGTTAGCTCGGGGTCATCGGACGAAATTCTACGTGCTCGGCGACCGGACATTCTGTATAATAGATAGGATAGTGTAAAATACCGGAGTGTAGCGTGCACCTGTAGTTCTACCGCTCAGTGAGTCGGGCGCGTCAATCGATGGGCGGCGGCTGCGCCGGGATGGACGCGGGCGGCGCCGTCAGGTAGCCGGCGGTGTGCGGCGCGCCTGCAAACATACGGGAATTAACGTGTTGACAGCACCAATCAATGAGGGTTTTCGCGAATGAAAGATCCGCTAGATGGCGGGACGTGGATGTGGGGTCTGACTGTTGCGTGATTGGTAGATTTTGACATATCTGTCAATGTCATGTCAAAAATAACCAATCATTCAGCAGTCAGACCCCACATCCACGTCCCGCCATCTAGCGGATCTTTCATTCGCGAAAACCCTCATTGTCGTACTTTTTAAAACTGTCAAAACGAAACTCTCCCATAGATTTTGTGTTGCAATGCAAGCAAGTGACGTCACTATTTTGGCAACTCAAATAAACTACTTTTTGTAATTACAATGCGACCGAAAATCGTGATTAACAGATAATTTAAAATTAATTAAGTTTATAAGACCAGAATGAAGTGTACTTTTTAAAATGTTGTAATTTCGAGTTATTGGAGAATGGTGTCAAATAGTCTATTCTACACTCTACTACACTTCATTCTAGTTCTAAATCAATAGATAGATAAATCATTTATTTGCATACACAACACACATAAAATAGTAATGTTGCACCACAAAAATAATAAGAAAACAGCAGGAGAAAATTATAAGCATGTATAAAACAAAGTTGTGAGTACAACTGGAAAAATGTTTCCAATACAGTTGTATTTGCTTCCGACTGTCTATTTATATTTTTGAAGAGAATATTATTCAATTTCAGGCCTTTTTCAGAGCACTTGTAGGCCCCCCTTATCAGAGCACATGTCGGCCCTTCAGCACTTGTCAGTACTTCTTAGAGCACTTGTAGGCCTTTATCAAAGAACACTTACCAGCAATGGAGTGGTGTTGCGGCGTGGCAGCTATGAAGAGATCGTGTCGCTGCTGCGAGTACTGCTCCCACACACGACTGCGAGCCAATAGAGCTCGCACGCGCTCAGCATGTGCGGGACATCGCGCCATAGCTTTCAGCGCGCTAACTAGCTGCGCCGCTGTCTGGCCGTCGAGACGCGTCTCCAGGAGTGAGAGTAACTCGGTGATAAGGTCCGTTTCTATCGCCTATAAATATAAACATTTCAATTATTACGGAGGAATGTTTATTTTCTTTACAATGATTAAACAAGCACACAGTAAGGCCTCAGCCTCGAACTTAGCGGGCAGCGGGGCGGGAGCGGCGGCGGCGCTGGAGCGGGGCGGGCAACGCAGACCCGTTCTCGAAACAAGCGGGCAGCTCGCGCGGCGCTTTAGCGGCGAAGTGTTGTGTTCGGGGTTGTGTTGTCGAGATATTTGTTTTTATTCGCAAACGAAATGTCTGGACAACGGCGACAATTTTATTTCGATTCAAATTTATTCCTAACGCTCGATTTATTGTGGGCAAAAGAAGGAGTGCGCTGCCCGCTCGTTGCCCGCTCCCTCGCCGCTGCCCGCTCCGGCGCCGCTGCCGCGCCGCTGTTTTCGAGAACCGGTCTATTTGATTTTACGCATAAGATCCTGCCGCTCCCGCGCCGCCGCCGCCGCCGCCCCGCTGCCCGCTAAGTTCGAGGCTGAGGCCTAAGGGATCTAGCTTCAACGTCAGTGGGGTTAGGTCTCTAGAGAACAGAGTAGTTTTTGGGGCGTTTCTGTTATCGACTCATTCAATGAGCGGTAGAGTCGCAGTCGATATTTGCGGTCGGGGCTTAGGGAGCTCACTACGGCGTACCGTACTTTCCTCCCAAGAGTTCGCAAGCACTTCGCGGTTAATACGCTACAGTTCGCCGCTTACTCCCTCGACAGAGTTAACGACCGAATCGCCACTCAGAGTCAGTCAGCCGCTCACTGTGAACCCAGCCTAAGAGTCGACCAAGTAAATTGAAATCATGTGTAAAGTGTCGATGAATCTACACACGCCACTTCGGGGCACGCTTTCATGGCCGCCCTCAGCCCCGCCCACGTGTGACGTCACAGGGTGTCCACTGCAAATGTTCGAAAAAATTCCCTGACTTTTCCCTGACTTTCCCTGACAATTTTTTCAAAATTTCCTGACCAACTATGTATACAACGTGTCCCAAAATTCAAGGATAAGCCGACGCCGCAGGATGGACATAGTCATGACTACTTTAGGAAAAATAAGGAAAAAAATCTATCTCAATTATTTTTTAAGTTACACAATAAATTACGAAATTCTTCGAATATTGACACCCCTTATGATATTTTACATTACCACGACCACCATTTTTCAAATATTTCTGTTTTTTTGTTTGTATCGGCAACTTAAGTAGTGTTGCTGTCCACCCCAACTCTTAAAACCCCCAGAATCCTTGCAGTTTTTACACAAAAGTTAATCAAAATATTTTATTTCCTTAAAATTTTGAACGATTTTTACTTTCACTCCACTTTGACTCATCGTTTTGTAAAAAAAAAGTATGAACACTACTGCGGCAAGTTTTTTTAAAGTTGACGCAACTATCCAAGATTCCAAAATGGTACTCTAAGAAACCTAGTCGCAAAAAAGATATGCGTACCATTTTTACAAGCACTTCGCTTGTTAGTTAGTATGGGATAAATCTTACAACTGAATTTAAAACCAGTTCTCCTTAATCAATTGAGCTGAAATTTGGTATACTTGTGTAAGTACGATGACAATGCAATATTATGGTACCATTGAGCTGGATGGAGTCAGAGTCAGAGAGACATTGAGATAGGAACTCTTAACGAAACGGCGGAATTGCATCTAGTTTGGGTTCGTTGGACTTGTCTTTTCGAGCACTTTAGTGCTAGATGATGTCCAGGGTCCTGATGATGAAGTCAAGAGGTGGCAGGAGCTGGCCATAGGAAGTCCTAAACGAAACGGCGGAAGCTTATCGAGTTTGGGTTCGTTGGATTTGTCTTCCCGAGCACTTAGGCCATGAGATTGAGAAACAACTAAAAAGTTTAAAATAAAGTTGTAATAAAAAAAAACTTTTTTAAAAACAAGCTTGACTTCGTTTGAAAATTATAATTGACTTCATCATCAGGACCCTGGACATCATCTAGCACTAAAGTGCTCTAAAAGACAAATCCAACGAACCCAAACTAGATGCAATTCCGCCGTTTCGTTTAGAAGTTCCTGTGGCCACCTCCAGTTTCAGCTCAATGGTACCATAATATTGCATTTTCATCGTACTTACATAAGTATACCAAATTTCAGCTCAATCGGTTGAGGAGAACTGGTTTTAAATTCAGTTGCAAGATTTATCCCATACTAACTAACAAGCGAAGTGCTTGTAAAAATGGTACGCATATCTTTTTTGCGACTAGACTTCTTAGAGTATTATACCATTTTGGAATCTTGGATAGTTGCGTCAACTTTATAAAAAACTTGCCGCAGTAGTGTTCATACTTTTTTTTTACAAAACGATGAGTAAAAGTGGAGTGAAAGTAAAAATCGTTCAAAATTTTAAGGAAATAAAATATTTTGATTAACTTTTGTGTAAAAACTGCAAGGATTCTGGGGGTTTTAAGAGTTGGGGTGGACAGCAACACTACTTAAGTTGCCGATACAAACAAAAAAACAGAAATATTTGAAAAATGGTGGTCGTGGTAATGTAAAATATCATAAGGGGTGTTAATATTCGAAGAATTTCGTAATTTATTGTGTAACTTAAAAATAATTGAGATAGATTTTTTTCCTTATTTTTCCTAAAGTAGTCATGACTATGTCCATCCTGCGGCGCCGGCTTATCCTTGAATTTTGGGACACGTTGACTTTTCGGATAGATCCAGTTAATTCTGTAACCTATTACTGATATCGTTTGAAAGAGCTCGTGAAGCACTTTCAAGATCAGTAAGCAGTTTTTCGATATCTTGTGTAGTTTAGAAATAATCGAATGAGATCACTTATCGTTTCCACCCTGTATTAATAGCACTCACAGTGAACTGCTCACTAGTCTGCACTCAATAAACAAATCAATAAATAATTATAAAAAAAAATATAAATAAACATAAGTTATAAGTTGCACTTTCACATCGACAATAGAAAATATGTATATCATTTTACTGAAACAAAAAAGTACAACTATTAAAACAAAAAGGAGTAATCTAGTTATGACAAAAAAAATCATAACATAGATCACTCTTATCCTGAAAAAAAAAAACTATATGAAAGTAATCTAATTATGAACAAAATTATGTCCTAATTTAGATCAATCCACTTCATTAGATAAAAAACTAAAAAGGAGTAATATAATTATGACTAAAAACAAAGTCATAATGTAGATCACTCCAAACCTGAAAAAAAAATGCTTCGATAGTCAAGATCAAAGGTCTTTCTAGAGCATAAATTAATTAAATCCCTCAGTTTACAATCACTGGGAAATTTCGGGAGACAAACAGTGTTTTGGTAGACAAAATCTCAATGTTTCCCTGACTTTCCAGATGACCCCTCTATTTCACTGACTTTCCCTGACTGCTATGAGCTTCCCTGACTTTTCCCTGACTTTCCCTGACTTTCCAGAATGTGGACACCCTGCGTCACACTACACGTTCGTCTGAGTGTAGCATCACATAGCTCACCTGGTTGACGAGGCGGTCGGTGTTGCAGCTGCTGTTGAAGATGGTCGCGAGCGCCTCGCACGCCACGCCCACCACCTCGGGACACGCCTTCATGGCCGCTTTTAGGCCTGCCATTACGTCAGTCGATGACAGCGCCACCACGCATGCCTGTAAAAGAAAAGAGTTAAAATAATCTGCTATGATCGTTTCTTCTTCTTCTTTTCGTGTCTACAACAAACGAAGACACGTCCTGGCGATACCCGTGGAAAAAAACATTTTCAAAATCAGTGAATACATACATTCAGAATGAGGCAGTCATTTTATTCGACTGTGATATGCGAATAATGCAATAGTTTTTTTGACGTGTGTGCCACCGGCACCTTGATTGATCGCAACAGTGACAATAGTATACAAATAATACATATCAAGCCGTGAGTACATTATGTAATTTTTAACTGAAATAGAACGCAAAAGTTTGAAATCTCATAATATACAAAAAGTAGAAAAATAAAGCAGCTGAATTCTGCCACTTCATCGCTCCGTGAGTTCCTGGCTTACGACATCGGTATGCTATGTCAAACGTTTATGAAGGGTTATCCAGTTACACCCGGAGCATGACGCAGCACCTATATTTATTTATTTACTAGTGGCCCGTGACTGCGTACGCGTGGATCCCGTTTTACCCACTTAGGGGTTGAATTTTGCAAATCCCATCTTAGTGAAAACCTACGTTCTAAACAGAACCCACATGCAAAATTCGAGACTCCTAGCACGTGTAGTTTCGGAGATGTTGTGATGAGTGAGTGAGTCCGTCAGTGACCTTTCGCTTTGGAAATCTTTGAATGCAGTTCTATTTCTTTTCAAAAATAAAGGAATGTTTCCTTTGAGTAAAATCTTCTACCTACAGTATTAAGAGAACTTTCCCTCGTGGCATTACAAAATTCCACCCTGTATAACGCCCACGCTTGCGCGTAATTATATTGCTGTCGCGACTTTGCGACTGGCACCCGCAGTGAGTGTGCGAGCGCGATAGCAACATAATTACGCGCGAGCGATAAGGATGGGTAGCTGGGGGTCATTGGACAAAATTCTACGTGCTCACGGACCGGGCTTTAGCTTTATTTATTTATACACGTGGCACATACCTGCGCTTGCACGAGCGCGTGCAGCACGGGCACGGCGTGCTCGGGACACGCGGGCAGCAGGCGCGCCAGCCGCGGCAGCTCGCCGTACGACGCGCACGCGCCGCCCAGGTGCGGTCGAGCGCGCACCAAAGCCGCTAATGCCGCTGCGCACACCGCGCCGCGACTTCCCTGCGGGTAGAAAGTAGAAGTAGAAGCAAGTGTTGAATCTGTTTCTATCTATGAAAATTTCCACTTTTGAACAAAACAAAATCAATCACAGAATAGGATTCACAAAAATATTTCTTGTGCTGGGTCATTCCATCGTTTCGGGTGTTACGTTCGTACACACATATTCAACAATTTCATGTAGTTTGAAATAGTATTTTAATAATGTTAGTGACTTAATCTGTCCGTTTTTAGTTGTTTTATCTAAATAATAAGTTTGTACAGCTTAGACTGTAGGATAACGAAAATATGTGTCGAAAAGTGTGCGTTTCGGGCGTTACGAGATTTTGCCTCTATGTTCTGACTGTTGCCGCATTTACTCGAAATTTAGCGAATTTTCTTAAGGAATCATACCTAAAACTTACAGGACTTCTAAAGTATGAAATTTACAAACCATGTAACATACAATCACTGTTAAATAAAACGTTTTACTGTTTTTTTATAATTTTTTTCTTTGTTTCGGGTGTTACAATGGTTCTGTTTCGGGTGTTACGAGTACGAAAATGCAACGCGTTTTATCGATAAAATCGGTGATTTATTAGTCTCTAGGTACTAGGAAATAAGGAGTACAACAAATAAACACAAATAGAGCGAATTCTGGTTTGAAATTACGAAGCAGCTTTTTTTAAAAAATAAATAAAGTTCAAGTTTAATTTTTCCTCAGAATATAGCTTTTTCTATTGTTTTTAACTTGAAATAGCATTACTTTAATTTCTAATTACGATATTTATTGGAAATGTCAATCATCAACACTTTTTAGCAATACCTTAATTTTAGTGTTGTTCTTATTGGCGAGGCACTAAGGCCGAAACTGTGCGGTTATGGTTTGATGCAAATATATTAGAATAGCCCAGCAAATTATCGCTGTCTGAACCAGGCGGAATACTGGTGGAACGCGGACCTGATTTTTGTTGAAATAAAGAAACTGTCGCCCGTATTCACAAAAGATGCTTGCTTAAGTGAAGCAGCAAATCGAACGCACGCTGTTGAATAGAGCTCTGTGATTGGTTCGTGTGTCACCCTGTGCGTCCACGCGCACTGTGAAACCTCATAATGTTTGTGAATACGGGCGTGTAATTATTTCCTTCATACCTCAGTCGTGTCCTTAGACAGCGCATTGAGCGTGTCGGTGAGTAGTTCCTGCAGAAACTTGGGGCTGCGCAGGTTCCATACTATGTTGGCCTCGCGGCTTGGCTTGGGATTAACAAACTGTTGATATTTCCTTCCTGCCTCGGTCGTGTCCTTGGACAGCGAATTGAGCGTCTCGATCAGCAGTTCCTGGAGGAACTTCTTGGGGCTGCGCAAGTTCCATATTATATTGGCCTCGCGGCTTGGCTTGGGATCGAACAAGCTGTTGTTATTTCCTTCGTACCTCGGTCGTGTCCTTGTACAGCGCATTGAGTGGATGGATTGGTAACTGATTTTTGTTGAAATAAAGAAACTGTATAGCCTGACCAGGAACATAAAAACCCTCGCCATGTTGCGGAAAACTAATGGTACTAATTTCTTTTAATGGCAACAGTAACTGAAAACTTCATTGTCATGTCACCTTGCATGTCAGTGTATTGCTGTCAAAGTGTAAACAAACATTATTTTAAATGTGCGCAATTGATTTTGTGAATTAAATTGCTAAAATCTTTTTATAGTCGTGAAAGAAAAGTGGTTTACAATGTGTTAAAGTGTTGTCGAAGAGAAATACTAAGGGTTCGGACAATATTTTCATTGAATAATGTTTCCGACAAAGGTTGTCAAATTGACTGACATGTTTATCGCATAGTACAGTCCACTAACCTTGGGGGAGGCCTTTGTCCAGCAGTGGACGTCATTTGGCTGAAACGACGACAGTCCACTATAAAAATTAGCTGTGGTTTGTTTCAACTACCTATTTTAAAATTTTTTGTCACTTTCTAAGTGTTGAATTTTATGGAATTAGGAAAGAAGTACCGAGTTTGAAGCGTTCATGAGCAAACATTGCAGTTGAATATTCAAGTTCTGAATTTGATTATTGATGAATAATAAATTAAATCCTACTAGCTCGATTGATGGTTTCATTTAATTTATTTAAAACCTGATAATATTTTTTCGTTAATTTATGAAAATATCAAATTAGCCCGTAATCCTGATACATAAAGTTAGCCTATTAATTAACACAGGTACGACTGTACTCAGTGTTGCACTATCAAATGCAATTGACGCGCCTCTATGCCAGGGTTTTTATGTTCCTGGTCAGGCTATAATGTACTTTCAAGAAGAGAGCGTATCTACATCTTAAAGGCCGGCAACGCACCTGTAACGCCCCTGGGACTGCGGGTGTCTATGGGCGACGGTAATCACTTATCATCAGGTGATTCGTCTGCTCGTTTGCCTCCTGTCACATAAAAAAATCCTTCGTACCTCGGTGGTGTCCTTGGACAGCGCGTTGAGTGTTTCAGTCAGCAGCTCCTGCAGAAACTTCTTGGGGCTGCGCAGGTTCTATATTATGTTGGCTTCGCCGCTTGGCTTGAACGAACTGTTGTAATTCCCTTCATACCTCGGTGGTGTCCTTGGACAGCGCATTGAGTGTTTCAGTCAGCAGCTCCTGCAGGAACTTCGGGCTGCACAGTAGTGCACAGGTTCCATACTATGTTGGCCTTGCGGCTTGGCTTGGGATTGAACAAACTGTTGTTATTCCCTCCTACCTCGGTGGTGTCCTTGGACAGCGCATTGAGTGTTTCAGTCAGCAGCTCCTGCAGGAACTTTTTGGGGCTTCGCAGGTTGGCTTGGCTTGGGATCGAACAAGCTGTTGTTATTCCTTCCTACCTCGGTGGTGTCCTTGGACAGCGCGTTGAGTGTCT